GCATTAACGCCCCCTGTGCTGCTGGGGTCGCATCGCATCGACGTTTGAATGTCTTAAAAGTCCACTCGCACCAACGCCCCCTGTGCCGCTTGGGTTGCAGCGACCCCCCCTCCCACCCTCACTCCAACCACACATGCACTCCTCGCCCCTGCAGGTAGTGCTGGCAGCGCTGCCACCGCCTTGGCTGCTGGGGAGACCTGCGCCGCCATGGCTGTTCCTCGGCAGACCCACACCGAGGGGAGTGGGGCGACCCATGTGCAGGCGAGGGAGAGAGGGGAGGTGGAGGAGGAGGTGGAGGAGGTTGAGGAGGAGGTGGAGGGAGAGGCGGAGGAGGGGGGTGAGAGGGAGACCTTGACCAACCGGAGGGGTTGAGTGGGGTTGAGTACGATGATGAGGTAGTTGATCTTGGCGAGAGCATTGCTGCGAAGAAGGGGACAGGGGGGGGAGGAGTACAGATAGGTCAAGAGGGGTGGACGATCAACGCAGTGGTAAGGGTAGTGTTGCAAAGCCAGGAAGAGGCAGGTAAGAATTAAGAAGATCTTGAACTTGGTAGCTAGCAAGAGAGGACCGAGAGGATTTGTGGGGTGTTGCTGCCACCCATCGGGGGAGATGATGCGAGATAATGGAGGGGCTCATATGAGGGGTTGGCGATGCTGTAGTTGGTGAGTGTGTCGCTTCCAGGGGAATTGGACAGAGACACAGCGACGTGCTAGAGTGGCACAATAGTGCTGGTGCTGTTCACGTGAAGGACACGGGCATGGTGATAACACACTCTCATGTGTACGTAGATGACTCACGCACTCACGTGGAGGAGACAGAGACAGTGGCGCCTCCCTTGGCTGCTCCGCCCAGCTGGGCGGCCGCAGTGGGGTAGAGCACCGGCGTGAGCGCCGAGGGGACTGGCGGGGTGCACGGGAGGTCAAAGAGAAGGCGGTTCTGAGGGTCCTCACAAGTGGACACCACCAGTGTGCCTCTTGGCGGGGTGAGGGGTGGCGTGCTGAGGGGTGTCGGGTTAGTGAGCGAGGGGAGAGGGAAAGGCAGGAGGATGGGGAAATGAGAACTTCAACGAGCTCAGCTCAAGCTTCTTCACAGATGCTGCCACGGTTGGGCGGAGCAAGGGAGGACTGCAACGATTGAATCGAGGTATGCAGGAGTGTTGAGGGGTGCAGAGAGTTGTAGTAGGGTGCAGGACGAAGTGCGGCATGGAAAGACATGATATTCCTTTAGTGCATTGGTTGATTTTCCATCCTTACTTCCCTCCCTACTCGAACCCTCCACACCCTACCTCACACACTCCCTCCACCTCGCCACCGTTTATCACCACTCTCCACCCCTCACCCCACCCCACCCCCACTGTGCTCACCAGCGTAGAACGCCTTGGCTTGAGATAACGCGCCCATGCTGCTGCTCCCAGCGCCCACCACCGCAGCAGAGAAACCAATGCCACTGGTACCGCTCACAGTGATGCCACTTGCAGTGTCTCTACCCGCGGCGTTACCACCAGGAGTGTTACCACCGGCAGTGCTACCATCGGCAGCGCCAGCAGAAGCAGCAGCAAGGAGGGCGGCAAGGGGAGCAGCAGGGAGGGGAGGCGAGGCAGGTGCGCCAGAGCAGTGCCACACGGAAGGCGCGGGCTGTGCGCAGGCGAGGAGGTGAAGGGGGATCGTGATGACGGGCTGCTGCTGTTGCCTCTGATATAAGGCGATTCGTTTGGGTGCGGTGGCTGGCCCGGTAAACACGAGAGTGTAGCGAAGGTTGTATTTTGTAGCACTGGAAAGGGGCGGGAGGGACTGGTGAGGTATCAGAAGAGAGTTTCAAGAAAGCAACTATATTCCAACAAAACTCCTACTGCAGACAGAGTCAAGACAGGTAGTTGACTGCAGAAGATATGACTGGGAGCAAACGAGCTATTGGAGAGAAGCGTTGCAGAATTGCTGCTTACTTTCTTTGAACGAGCAGGCTGAGAGTGCCGGCCGCCGCTTTGTCTGAAAATCTCGTCACGAGGCTAACTGCCAAGAGGGGCGGTAATGTTTGAAACCAATGAGCGGCTGAGGATGGGGTGACACACGCGACGGGATGGTGAGGCACATGATGACATGCACGGGCGGGGTATCACGTTCTTGGAAATTTAGACAATAAAAGGGAAGACGAGAGAAATGAGGGAACATTGGGAGATGGAGAGAAAAGGATAAGGAAACGGGTGATGGTTGTTTTTCTCTGTGCAATAAGCTCCCATTTTAGTGTTTTATTTGTAAGGTTCAAACTTCTGTGCTCCCAACGAGTCCTGTGCTCATTCAGAAGTACTACTAGCCATTCGTTTCATCTTCCTCTCGTCATTTCGTTGTCTCCTTCTCTCTTCATTTCGCCCTCTCATCCTTTCTTCTGTCGTCCTCTCTACCTTTTGAGCGGAGTGGCTCTGTCGCATTGAGTCTTCTCACCTTGCTGAGTCTGGGCGTGAGCGTCGGTCGAGAAACCCGCCAGCGTCGCGAAACCTGGTAATTCGAAATGGAGAGTAACACATGTTACAAGTGAGATTGAAATTATCAAATATATGTAGGGGCAGACGATGGCTCTACGCGGCAGATATTATTCCAAATTTATAGAAACAATACGTGCACTTTCTATTTGGTGCACAGACAAACGTGCAGCTCTCAAAACGTTGTGATAGTCTCCCCCGTCCCCACACAGTATACGCACAGAAGAGAGTGGTAAACGATGGGCAGAATGAGTTCTGAAATCGTCGTCTTGCTTTGATCAGCAGCTCCGTTTGCGCCCCCATCATACTAATAACTACACGGTGATATTCCGCCCGCAAAAGATGGCGACGGAACGCAGCCGCGAGAACCAGATATCGAAATGGCCTCGCGCATCAACCGAGGTTATTATCTTCTTTTTGAACAGGTCACTACCATTGTTGAAAGCGCGAAATAGTACTGTCAGTTGATAGGAGCGACTATCCGCTGTTCGGCTCGAGGCTAAGCAAAAAGAACTCGACACGTCTGCAGTTTCTGTTGGAATTCTTTTGAAATAGGCGCTGATAGATATTGCAAAGAGCAGCTGCAGAATTCAGCGTAAATTAGGTTGTCAACAGAGGGGAGAGAGCATGTTGTGCTTCAGCGCATCTTGCGTTGTGATTCAGGCTGGGAAGACGTCGCCCGAATCCCTCCGAGAAAACCCGTTCGCCCCTGCGGGTTTTCCTCGGAGGGATTTTCGTTTCCCCGCTGTCGCGTGGCGGGCCACGCGAGGGGCGGGAGCCACCCCCCCAACCCGCCCGAAAACCGGCACCCCCAGCTGGCGCCAGCTGCCGATGACGCCAGCAGCCCGCGCCCTCGAGCTGGCAGCGGTCACCCTCCCAAACCGAGCCCAACCCCCCAACCGAGCCCAACCCCCCGCTCAGTTCGTCGACGGGTTCCGTCAGGTAACCCACCCGTCCCTCGCCGAGCGACGCCTCGCCGACGGAACCAGTCCGCGAAGTTTCGCCGGCCAGACGAAAGCGACGCCCATCTGCGCCGCGCTCCACCGCTCTCGCCCTAGACGGGCCCGTTTCGTTCAAGCCGCTCGATCTTGGCGACGTGTCGAAGGCCCCCTCCCGAACCCTGGAAGGGGCCTTTCAGCTGCATGCAAGGCTGCCCACCCCAACGACCAGGTTTCACGTCGAGGCCAATGGGGCCCCGCCGGCCTCCCTCCTCCTCCCACGTCTCGGAACGCACCCTGCCTCCTCGCCCTTGAACCCCCCTGGTCCGTCGCGGTGGGAGGGATGGCAAACAGCTAATACCCTGCGTCCGCTCTCATTTTGTTGCTGTTTCCGATTTTTGCTTCCCTACTTCCTAGTCCCTGCTAGTTCCCAACTCCCCTGCGCGTCCGCCCTCTCCACTGCTAGAACAGACATGGCTACGGGCTCCGCCTCCGTACCCGTCATGAACGAGGCCACGGTTCGACGCGGCCTCATCCTTAGTGCAGGCGGGGTCGAGGTGGAGGTGTTCGAGGACCAGCTGAATGCGATTAGAGAGGCGCCGAAAGGGGAGCTCGAGGAGAGCATGATGGTCGCGGGCGTCGTGTACGTGTCCTGTCGAACACTATCGGTTTGCCATGTTTCGGTTTACCTATCGCTGACGTTGACTTAGCTTTCCGTGCAGCCTGTTCTGTCATGAGCTGCTCTCCGCCGAGCAGCTCCCCAAGGTGTCGATCGTGACTCCGGCGCGTGCGCGTGAAGAGATGGCCCGTCCCACCCCGGTCGCTTTTGCGAACAACCACCTCGACGGCCTCCTCGGCAAGCAAGTGGTTTTGGTTCTGCTGCGGACACCGTGAGTTCGACACTCTCCCGTCGCCTTGCGTGCTCCGTCTTTAGCCCTGAACCCGTTCTCACGTGCATTGGCTGTGCATGCAGACTGAGTGTGCCTCCGTTCTCCCACTCGAGCCTGTTCGTGGTATCGCGCCCCGATGATCTGCTGGCTCCGAGGCACCGTGGCAGTCGAACTCGAATGATGCACTTCGATTCGAAAGACAAGTTTCCCGATATGAACCACCAATCTTCTCTGGCGCAAGAAGTTTTCGTGTGAGTGACAGCTTTGCAACCCTGCTGTCGAGCTGCTATTCTCGACAATCTTACTCTTCTGTCCGCTGCGTCGCAGGTGGATGAAGAAGCAGCTTCGCGCCGAGTACGCGATGACCCACCAGGCTTTGACCGAGGACGACCAAGAAGTGTTGAAGGTGATGGACCTTCGTCTGGAGTTGAACGAGGATTTCGACCATCTGGTAAGCTCTCCTTAGACCAACAGCGTTTTCGTCGAGCATGTGTTTTGTCGCTTACGTATGTTTTGTACCCGTCGCAGACGACGACGGCCTTGTCGAGCCCCTATCAAAACGGCTCGGCAGCTCGTGTCGTGCATGGGGTGCGCCGGATTCTGTCGAAATGGGACGACTTCATCCTACAGCCTCGAAAGGGCGAACTCGTGCATCTAGGGAGAACGAACCCTGGCCCGGGTATACTTCCGTTGTTCATGGTCAAGCTGTTTTCGAGAAAGATCGACCAGGTGGCGGAGGGAGCAAGTGTGGGAGGGGGTGCCGACCACGAGGGAGGAGGCGAGAAGACGGGACGCGGCGTGATTGAGTACAACGTCGAGGAGGAGGAGGAGATCGAGGAGGATACATCGAGGCAGGCTCAGCACGGGGCGAGCGGCCCGCGCGGCGATGCGAACCAGGACGAGGACTCGAGCTCGGAATCGAGCTCCGGCTCGAGCTCGAGCGATGAGTCGGTCGAGGACGACGGCGAGGGCGCCGGACATCGAACGGAGCGTACGGGGGAGCACGGAGTGGCGCTCGGGGAGCGGGTGGACGAGCTAGTAGAGCTAATCGAGCAGCAGACGACAGGGAAAACAAAGGCTGTCGAGGAGCAGGAGGGCGGAGCGGCTGCGCAGGAGGGTGGGGTCGGAGGGCAGCAGCAGGTGGTGGGCGAGGCGGCTGCGCAGGAGGGCGGGGCAGGAGGGCAGCAGCAGGAGGGCGTGGCGGCTGCGCAGGAGGGTGGGGCAAGAGTGCAGCAGCAGGAGTTTAGGGTTGCGGCTGCGCGGGTGAGTGGGTTGGGAGGGCAGGAGCAGGAGGTCGGGGAGGCTGTTGAGGAGTATCGTCGAGGAGATGAGCGACAGGCCGCCGTAACAAGGAGTCACCGCACGGCCAGTGGCAGCGGACAGGCGGGCCCTTCGACCGGGTGGCCTTCGACGGCAGGCCAATCGACGGCGAACGTTGCACCCGGAGGCCAGGTCGTCGAGGTACTGCAGAGGGTCGAGAAGGTCAAGGCGTCGCAGAAGCAGCTCGTCGCCGATGTATTTGCGAAACACACTGAGCAAGCCGGAGTATTCAACAGGCTCGCGGCGGATTTTCGGACGGCGTGGAATACGATTTCGGAGTCGTCGAAGAGCACACTGTCGTAGTGCGCCGAGGCTGTGAAGGGTGTCACGGCGGAGAGGAACCTGTTGGAAGGGGCGCGGGCGAAGATCGACGAGATGAGCGGGAAGATCATCGAGGGGGTGGTAGCCGCCATCACAAAAGCGAGCGAGGACGCCGTCGAGAAGCAGCTCAAGCAGGTCGAGGAGCGGCTGGTTGCTGCGGTGATGAAGGGTTTCGAGAAAGCCATCATGGAGGACATGTTTTTCTCCACCCTCCCACCCGAGACCATGAAGGAGCTGAAGGACATTGTGAGGGAAGGATACCAAGAAGCCGAAGCAGGGAGGTTGGAAGTCCTCACCGAAGCGATGGCGAGAGGTTTTCAGCGCTCGGCGGGCCCGTCGACGAGGTCGCGTCAGGAGGGTGTGGGAGGGGTTCGCAGCGGGGCTGAGCCTCGAGGTCACGAGCGGTCGGTTCCTCCGTCTTCTTCGGTGGGAGGACATGTCGGCAGCCCGGTTGGATCCCCACCGGCGCGTGGCCGTCATCCCGTCGCCAAGCCCATCCCCGAAGTCATCGTACTCGACCAGTCAGCCCTCCCGAAGACCTCCGTAGCGGCTCCGATCGATCAACCTGATGCGTTTGCTTCGATGCGGGACATGCTGCAAGACCTGGGGAAAACGGGCGGAAAAGGAGTGGTCGCGGGGGAGAAAAGTGGTGGCCCGAAGGAGCACGTCGCCTCGACCGGGAACAGAGCCCTAGGAATGTGAGGTGCCTCTACCCCGTCAGGCGGCGGAGCAGGGAAAGGAGCGGGAGAAGCAAGCGCTGGGTTGCTGTCGAAGCCTAAAGCGTCATCAGCTGCGCACGGCGGTGGTGCTGGCCTTGCTGCCGGGCTTGTGGGAAATTGGGCGTCTTCTTCAACCCCTCCAGTTGCTCCTATCGCCGCTGCTCCGTCCCTAGGCAACGTTTGCCTTAGCGATCCGGGCTCCCCTTCAAAGTCGAAGAAGAAGCCGGCTGCGACGAAGTCGTCGAAGCGCGCTGCACACGCGACAGAGAGCCGTGACGTGGTGGAGCTGGCCAGCGTCCCTGGTCAGGCGCCTGTCGAGAAGACCTCTATTGTCGTTGCTGCTCGACAGGAAAAGGCGAAGAAGGCCAGGGTCACGGGTCACACCCCACCTCCTCGACCGGACGACCAAGGCAAGACGAGAGGCTGCAAACGTCCCTTCAAAGGACCGGGTTTCGGGTTGCGGAAGGGGAAGCTGGTTTCCGAGCAGACCGTCGGCGGGAGGAAGCGGTTCCTTGGCACATTTGAAACAGAGAAGGACCAGAAGTTCTGTACGGCCGTCTGCTGGCGCGTGTACTTCCCTGACGTTGTCCTTACGGAGTACGAAGGGTACACGGCGCAGGATGAGGAGGACTGGAAGGTGTACCTCGATGCGGCCGCAGAAATGCCAACCGGCGTTTGGAGCATGGCGCAAGAACAAGGGGAATGCCGTTTCGAGGAGTAAGTCGTGTCGAAGTCATGTTGCTAGACTTTGCTGTTGAATTCCTGTTGTTTTGGTGATTTGTCGAACATTAGCTGTTTTGCGGTGAATGTGCTGTCGGTCGAATTCTGGCCTCTTGACTAACGCATTTCTTGCGATGTGCAGTTACCTGTCGCTGTTGGCGACGGCAAAAAAGGAAGCGAAAGCTGGGACCAAGAGGGGCATCGCGCTGTGCGTGGCGATTGGTAAGGTCGCGTCGCTTGGCCTGAAGCACGGGAATCTGATTTACCCGGTCCCGAAGGGCATGGCGGCGACACCGCACATGATGGCCATCGCAGCAACTGTGGCGAGCTTGTGGGCAGCTTGCAGGAAGTTGTCGAGGGAGGATATTAAGAAGGACGCCCTAGCTGCCGCAAACGCGGCGATCTACGCCCCAGAGACTGCAAAGAAGGCTTGTGTGGCTGCCATGTCCGCACTCGTGTCCATACTTTTGCACGTCGGCAAGACGTTCCCGGCGAAGCAGTGGCCCGATCACCTGTATACGTCGGCTGTCGAAGGTCTCGGCTCGACGGACGCCATATTGCTGCAGATGCTGCGCGTGGCAGCACAGGTCTGTACGCAATGGTGCTGCTGTCGAGCTGCTGCTCGCTTGCTGGAGGACGCGGGCTATGGCAGCCTGGCTATGCCAGAAGAAAAGAGCAAGGCGAAGCAGGGCGTCGAGGATGCAGCTGAGACGGAAACGAGCGGGCAAGGGGAGTAGTCTAGGCGGGCACTTTGCGTGGGGGTGTTTGCTATTCTCGACAGTTGTGTTAGTTGTTTCCAGAGTTTAATCGACAGCATGTACATGTTGCATGATTCTTTACTTTCCGTGTGCGATAATGCTAAGAAGGTTCATACAGGCAAGATGGTCGGTCAGTAATGAGAATCTGGCATGCAATCTCTAAAAGAACACCCTACCCTAGTTTCCCCCCTCGTCACGATTGCCTGTCGAACTTGGGCTCTCGCCCAATGTTTTCATGAACTCTTTCCATTTGTCTTTGAACACGTTCTCGGCCCATTTCGTGGTTCGAAGCTCGACGCGAATGAGCTCCCGCGTGATCCTGAGGCGATCTTTGTCCTTCCGGTTGTCTTCTGCTGTCTCGACTTTGCGCTTCTTCGTGAGCTGCTTCCCCGAATCCTCTTTGAGAACGAGCCCTTCAGCCAGCATGTTGATCGAGTGGTTCGAGACTATTGAGTCAAGCTTATCAATGATCGTCAACGTAGCCGCGCTGCTGTCGTCGACCCTGAATATCTCGACGGCCCTCATGACAACCTCCATCTTCCGCAATTTCGACTCGACAGCTTTTGGGGTCGGTGGCTTTTCTTTTGGCTGGTTCACCGCAATAAGGGGAACGGTGGGAGGAGTCGGAGTGAACTTGCTGAACTTGACGGCGAAACCCCTCCTGTAAGCGTGTCGAAGACTGTTTCCGTTGTTCAGCGGGCTTGGCCCGTCCCAGTACGACCACGCCTGCCGCACGGTCTCGCAATTGCACCACGGCCACACCACTGCGTCGAAGAATGCTTGGTCGAGCTGGCTGCCCTTGCTCTGTTGAATGGGCGTTGATTGAGGGGGTTGCTGTGGTGGCGGGGTGGTTTCTTCGGTCGCCGTCTGCGGCACACTCTCGCTCCCCCCCACACTCGCAGCTGCGGTTGTCGCGGCGGTAATCTTCAGTGCGTCGAACGCTTTCTGCAGTAGCGCGAGTGCTTCCGCCTTCGCCTCCAACTCCGCTTGCATCGCGCCCTTCTCCCGCTCCAATGACTCGACCTTCTGCTCGAGGCCCTTGATCTTGATTTCTTTTTTCCCACCCTCCTCCTTGTGTAAGTTGACCTCTGCCCGAAGTTGCGTGATGAGGTGCTTGGTGTTGAGTTGAAAGGATGCGTCCTGCGCACAAGATCACGAGCGGTAGGTAAGTGGGCTGATGCAATCTGTTCGGATTAAGATTTAGAAGGGCCATCTTACCGAAGCTTTCGACAGCGTGGGGTTGGTCCACATCTCGATGCCGTATTTGTCGAGCAGGTACACGTCAAGCGCCCATTTTTGGAAATCCATGTCCTTGCACAAACCGGACATCTGTACATAACGGTGACGCTCGCAGTTGCAAACAGTCACTTCGTCGAAGGGGTGGTCGTCACAGTGGACGTAGTACATCGCAAGATCCTCGGCGATGGGCATTCGGACGGCTTGCAGGGCCTTCAAGAAACTTTTCGCTGCGAAGAACATATGCTCCTTGTCCTGCTCGTTGTTCCATTCCATCGCCTGAACAAGAACAAACGTGGTGACATTGAGAGATAGATGGGCAAAACTTGCATTCGATGATCACGCTAAGCGCTCGACGCATCCATACCTCGTCGAGCCACTGCTCCGCCTTTGGAAATATGTGCTCCTCGATAGCCTTCAGGACCTTCGCGGGTACTTCGCTCTTCGATCTTCCAAGGTAATAGTCACCCGGTTCCGTCGTGAAACCCGCTTGCAGCTGGATGGCCCCGCGCGGGATGCCTGTGACGTATGACCTGCGCATCTCGTTCATGTCCCATTGACCCAGCTGCGCGATGTTGTCGAGTTCACAGTTTTTGTCGGCGAGGATCTATGCCGCAGACCGCCGAAAGATATGTGTGACTTTCGACAGGATCCACTCCGCGCTTTTCATCGCCCAGGTAACCCATTTGGCATGAGTCGCGTACGGCAACTCGGTCTTGTCTTTGTCGAAGAGGGCGAAGAACAGGTGCTTCTTTGACCAATTTTCTGGGTTGCTGAAATCCAAGGGGGCCACGATCTTATCGTTGTTGTAGTAGAGCGGCACAAGGTCGAAAATGAAATGTATCCACATGAACACTGCTCCGAAGCCGCACTGCCGGAAGTCCATGTGTCGAGTCAGGTACAGGTGGCCGAGCTTGTTGTCTTTGATGGTCTTCGAGTTGCGATAGGCGACCACGAGAACGTGGATAGACGATTCCCCCTTGCTGTTCGTGATGGGCGGAAGGACGTGAGTGAACATATTGCAGTAGCGGATCTCGCGGATGCTTATCCCCCTGCCCAGCATGTGATGCGCCATCAGGATCATCACCCTCACGGCCAAGGCCCTCCACAGCGACTGACTGGGGTAACTCATCGACTCCCGAAAGTACTCCTTGGCCCAGTACGGCAGGATGTCTGAAACGAGAATGCGGAACTGCTCCTCCGTGTAAACATCGTCGAGCGAGCCCCGGTGTGGATCGACGCACTGCCTGCATTGAGTGGGCAGATACAGCGAGTAGTTGGGTGAGAATTTGAGTGAAAAGTTCTAGAGTCCGGTGTATGGCAGCCTACTTACTCGAACTGAAAGTCGTGCAGCTGCCGGAGCTTGACCGCAAGAAGTTGCCGGGCCTCGGTGATGTCGTCCAAGGGTTTCGTTAGTGGCTCGTCGAAGAGTATGGCCTCTACTCTGCAGAAGCACGTCAGCGCAGTAAGGCGCGCCAGCATCATCGGAGGGGTGCTTTTTTTCGCCTTCCTTCCAGCGACTCTGGTCCGGCCTGTGTCCAACGAAGCCGCCTGTTGGTCGGTTTTAGTCGACATGTATTCGACGTACGCGCGCAAGCGCCACTTCGTTATTTTCGGCCCATGCAGGTGCTCCTCGTTACGCAGCGCCTCCCTCCATCTCGGCCCCATATCGTCGCCGATCTCCCTACCGATCTCGTCCTCGTAGATCACCTACTCCTCTTTAGGCACTCCGTTGCTTCCCTCGGGTGCCAGAGTTTTACAGGCCCAAGCTTTGTAGTGCATGCTTCCAGAGACATAGTTCTGCCGTGTGGAATCCTGGTCAACTCCCAGCAGCGGAACCTCACACCGGAGAATCCTACTTTTAATTGTTCCGGTCGCCAAGTACGGATTTTCTGCGCCCGGTTGGTCGCCGAGAATGTGCGCGGCATCCTCCTCTGATATATTTGCCGCAGCAGGCCGCAGAGGGTCCGGCGGTTCGACATCGTCCGCCTCCTGCTGTTCTCCCGTCCGAACATCTTCATCGTCCGTCACTTCAGGGACGTTCCTGGCTAAGTCCTCTCTGCTTGGTCTCGTCGAAGTGCGCCTAGGAGCGGCGGGGCCGGCTCGAGAAGCGGATGTGCCGGCAGGGGGTGGTTGGCGAACCTCAGGCAGAACAGCCCTCTCTCTCCTACGTCGCCCACCTGTCGAGGTCGGTGCACCAGCTGAAGGTTGTTCCGTCGAGCGGTGGGCTGTCGACGATGGTGCACGGTGAGCAGGAGCCTCGTGTGTAAAGGGAGCATTTGTTGTCGAGATGGGTTCTACGACAACAGGTATGGATTGACCTGTCGAAGGGAATTCGGTCTGTGCACCACCCACTTCAACAGTGACCGGAATACCCGTTGAACGCTGGTCCGTAACAACCGGCTGTATTACTACCGGTATGGCACGCGCCGTCGAAGGGGCCGTCGAACGCTGGTCCGTAACAACCGGCTGTAATACTACCGGTATGGCTCGCGACGTCGAGGTGGGCGCTGCCACCTCCGGTATGGCACGCGTCGTCGAAGGGGCCGTCGAACGCTGGTCCGTAACAACCGGCAGTAATACTACCGGTATGGCTCGCGACGTCGAGGTGGGCGCTGCCACCTCCGGTATGGCACGCGTCGTCGAAGGGGGCGCGGAAGAATCCGGCGTGGCTCCAGTCGTCGAAGGGGGTGGTGTCGAGATGGACTCCAATTCGACAGGTATCCGTCCTACGTCCGCCTGCCGGGAAGGCGCTGTCGTCGACGGATCGGTCTCCATCAGTGCCCACCGAAAGCTAGCAGTTCTCCCTAAATCCTGGCCTGCTGAGGAAAGTGTGGTGCTTCTACTATGAATTCAGGTTTATACAGTGACCTTGGGCTGATGTTGCTCCCAGTGGAGACTGACACATTCGACGTGGCAGTCGGCAGTTGACGTGAACGTTTGACTGCGACAGACGTAACCCGTCGCCCATCCGACAGCGACAGTTCGCTCGACCGACGAGGCGACAGGTCGGCCGCGGTCGACGTCTCCGTCGATTGCGACAGTCGGTATTTCGCAACCGTCGACCGTCAGCGCCACCGTGTGGGCGACATGCCACCGGGTGTAACACGCGTTGTCGGGGGTGCACGGTGCTCGACGGCGATTGGCCAATGTCCGTCGAGCACTGTTCGACCAATGTCCCCGAAATTGCAACAGTTCGGCCGACATGTATATGAGAATAAGAATACGACATTGAACCAGCGGGTTTCGGGGGGTTTTTCGGCCTGGTCAGCCGGGAATTTCCGGGCGCCCGGAGGGATTCGGAGGGTTTTTTTCGTTTTGCCTCAAATCCCATTTTGCCAGGGCGGGCGGGGCGGCATGTGATGACGTCACCCGTGTGTATATAATTGGGGAGGTTGATTTTCTGCCACAATTATTGGCCCCACTCTTTTGCCTTGAAATGTGCGGTGCGGCTATATCCAGCGGACATGCATTCTTGTTGAGTTTATGCAAACTGCATACAGGCCGTCGATGCTTTGAGGAGCGACGCGCGAGGTGCGGGTAGCAGCAAGAGAAATCGAACAATTATCGTGGGAGCTGCAGCCTTCGTTATGCCACGACTGCCCTGCTACAAGTGTGTCATGTAGCATGAGTAATTCTAGTTTAGGTAATATAAACCCAGACCTTGTTTACATTTGAACAATGTACAACCATAAATGTTCAAATTTCTCCAATCACAGTTCGTCATTGAAAGAGACCCTCACTCTAAGCACACCTGCTAGCTTCTTATCGTTCACATTCAACACCCCTCCAGCCGAAACACCCTTTTTCTCTCCGCCCTCCTCCCCATTCACACAGCCCACTCCATCCATGAGCTCTTTCAGTGGCTTGGAAAGATTCGGCCGAGTTGCCTCTTCGAGCACCGCAGGGGCACGGAGGTAGAGGTTGGATCCATAGAAAGAGACGGACGGTGCTTGCAAGCGGGTGGCAAAACGAGAGTCGGCCAATAGCTGGTCGATAAACTGCATGGAGGATACAATGAGCAGTGGGCAAGAAAGGAAAGTAATACACATGCCCTAGTTGCTGGGGATGGCAGCACCTGTTGCAGAAAACAAAAGCTGCCGCAAAGTGTTAGTGAAATGTGGATTTTGTACCGTGCTAGCAACCCAGATAACTACTTGCTGCAGAGTGCCATCAGCCGTGCCAGCACATGCCATGCACACATCACACATACCTGCTGCAGAGTGGCTGTGGAAGGCACGGTCACAGGCACGCCAGCACTGCACACGAGGCACTCCGGGTCCCTCTCATATGCCACAGTGTGTGAGTAGACGCCCTGCGTGCCCACATACCTGAGGGGCGCACAAGTGTGGGGATTGGAACAAGTACGTGGGAGATTCAAGAGTGCATTATTTGATTAAGGGGCGCCAGCGCTGCACATGAGACACTCGGGGTCCCTCTCATTAGTGACAGTGTGTGAGTAGACCCCCTGCGTGCCCACGTACCTGTGGGGTGGGGCCCACACATGTAGGGATTCGGATAAGGACAGGGGAGATTCAAGAGTGCTCTATCTTATAAAGGAAGCACGTGGAGTATTTTCCTACAGCACCTTGTTGTTCAGACATAGAATCACGTTTAATTTACAACACCAGGTAACTCATGCATAGAAGCACACTCACTTACATCACACACTCATAGATGCATACAAACACATCCTTTCTCAACACACATTCATGCGTATAAGCACATTCACTTACATCACGTAGTTGTTCATCCCTGCGGAGCACATTGTAGCGATCTTGAGAGTCTCCAGCGCGCACACTGCTGATATGATGGCATTGGTTGATGCTATAGCGGGGATAATGTTCTTCACCACTCCCTGTATCGAATGCACCGTGATGGTGTGGCACAAGAGAGGGGTAATGGCATGGCATTCATTAGATGTTGGTGCTATAGCGGGGATAATGTTCTTCACCACTCTCTGCATTGCATGCAAGGTCATGGTGGTGCGGCAGCAAAGGGAGGTAATTGCAGGGAAATGGGGTGTGTAACGATGGGAGGGGAGACGATGGGAGGGGATTGCAAGAAGTGGAAGAAACAGCTCCGGGTGGGCGGGGAGGGGGGTGGCAATGGCGACACTGCAGGTTCAGGAAGAGAAGTCAATGGCGCGGAGAGGCGAGGTACAGAGCACAGAGGAGAGGCGGATGGCAGTAGATGTGCATGTGCATGTGCATGGTGCATGGTGCATGGTGCATGTGCATGGTGCATGGTGCATGGTGCATGGCATGGCACACACCTGCGTGAGGGAGAGAGTGACGCCTGTGATGCTGTGCTGCTGGGCACGAATGAGAGCCTGCCGGGGAGCAGAGAGGAGGTGGGCCGTGCGGCCGGAGGGGAACGAAGGGAAGAAGGGGAGGGGAAGCAGGGGAGGGGAAGCAGGGGAAGGAGGGAGCGGAGATTGACATGAGAGAAGCAACAACAAACATGATAGCAGCATGAGAGGGACACGAATGAAGTACAGGTGGCCTTTGGAAACAGAAAGATGTGGTAAAACAGAAAGATGTGCTCAAACATAGCAGAGTAAGAAGGGGTCGCACAGCAAGCAGCACCTTCTGGTAGATCCAATCTATGTGCCAAGGTTGTCGTTAGGAACAGGTGACTGCGGAAAGAGCAAAAGCCTTTGGTGGAACATAGCAGAGTAAACGAGGGTGATAGAGAAAGCAGTACCTTGTGGTAGATCCACTGTATGTGCTCCAAGTTGTCCGCATCGAAGGACTCTCCTGGCCGCTCCTGGTGGTGATGCAGAGATGCGGAGAGGAGGAGAGGCGAGGCGGGTCAGGAAAAGTAGAGTGAGGTGGTGAATGGAGCAGGGACCGGGAAAAGAAACGAGAAACAGAAAGGGAAACAGACAGAGAAAGCGAGAATAAAACAAGCAATCAAAACAAAGTGAGGAGTGTTAAGAGGGGGGAGCAAGTGAGGGAGGGTGAAAGACGGTGCAGAGCGCCAGGCGGAAGTTAATCTCACAATTTCACACGCACAGGCAAAAGCTGATCTGGGGAGAAGAAAAACGAATCCTTCTCCTTTCCCACACCCGTCCGCCTTCCTCCCGGCTGTATGCGGATCTCACCTCCCCTCACAGAAGGAGGTGTGCATATCAATGTCAGGTGTGGGCCACGCAGCCCCACTCCGCCCCATTTGCTAATCCAATGCACCCCATGCCCTCCTCAGACCCCACCCCTCCATCCGCGAAACCACTTCGCCCTCCTTCCCGCCCCTCCTCCCACTGAACACTCGTCTCACCTCGCCCCACTGAAAGAGGTGCGCGTATTCAATGCAGTGAGCAGGCGACCCAGCCCCCCTCTGTTCTATTCGTTAACCCCCCTCCCGCCACACCCAACTGAACATGCATCTCAACTCACCTCGCCCCACTGGATGAGGTGCGCGTATTCAATGCAGTGTGCGGGCGAGCGGGGAGTCTCAGCGAGCGTGCAGAGGGGGAACTTGGTCTGGGGGGGGAAGAGCCACAGCGTGCAGTGGAAGCACGGCGTCACCCCCGGGATGATCACCCTTGCGTGCCCCTTAAAGCCCTCCGTCCCGCCGTCCACCATGGGGCGGATAGAGGTCAAGTCCAGCTCGCCTTCAGGAGAGTACTCTGGTGGTGAGGGAGGAGACGAGGAGAGGAGTGCAGGGATGGAGACGAGGAGAGGAGTGAAGGAGGAGGGGGGCACACTGGGTGGGAAGAAGGATCACTCCGGCATGCCCCTTGAAGGATCACTCCGGCATGCCACTTGAAGGCCTCCATTCCGCCGTCCACCATGGGGCGGATACAGGTTGAGCCCAGCTCGCCCTCAGGGGAACACTCTGGCAGTGGTGAGGGTGGAGATGGGGGTGTGGAGGAAGGAGATGGGGGTGTGGAGGAAGGAGATGGGGGTGTGGAGGAAGGAGACGGCACAAGGAAGGGAGAATGATCACTCTCGCATGCCCCTTAAAGCCCTCCGTGCCGCCGTCCAGCTCGCCCTCAGGGGAACAGTCTGGCGGTGGTGAGGGATGGAGATAAAGAGGAGTCGACGGAGGAGGGGACACTGCGTAGGAAGAAAGAGCACTCAGGCATGCCCCTTGAAGCCCTCCGTTCCGCCGTCCTCCATGGGGCGGATGGAGGATAAGTCCAGCTCGCCATCGAGGGGGTACTGTGGTGGTGAGGGGGCGGAGACAGGGGTGGGGCAGGAGGGGGCGGAGACGGGGGTGGGGCAGGAGGGGTGGAGGAAAGCGGGATGAGCACCTTGGCATGCCGCTTGAAGCCCTCCGTTCCCCCAAGTGAAGGTCAAGTCCGGCTCACCCTCAGGGGAGTACTCTGGTGGTGGTGGGGGAGTACTCTGGTGGTGGTGGGGGAGTACTCTGGTGGTGGTGGGGGAGTACTCTGGTGGTGGTGGGGGAGTACTCTGGTGGTGGTGGGGGAGTACTCTGGTGGTGGTGGGGGAGTACTCTGGTGGTGGTGGGGGAGTACTCTGGTGGTGGTGGGGGAGTACTCTGGTGGTGGTGGGGGAGTACTCTGGTGGTGGTGGTGGGGGAGTGGGGGAAAGGGGGGTGTGGCTTTTGAGTCGACTCAAAAGTCAGCTCACCCTCAGGGGAGTACTCTGGTGGTGGTGGGGGAGTACTCTGGTGGTGGTGGGGGAGTACTCTGGTGGTGGTGAGGGAGTGGGGGAAAGGGGGATTGTTGGGAAGGGAGAAGGGTGATCACCCTCGCATGCCCCTTAAATCCCTCTGTGCCTCTGTCCCCCATGGGGCGGATTGATGACAGGTCTAACTCGCCCTCGGGGGAGTATTCTGGTGGTGAGGGTGGAGATGGGGGTGGAGCAGGGGGAGTGGATGGAGGAGGTGGCGCTGGGTAGGGAGGATGATGGCCGTCGCATGCCACGTAACTGTGCCGACATCAACCATCGGGCCTGGCAATACCGTCAAGGTGTAATTAGCTCGAGGTACGTCCTGCCATTGAATTGGTCAAACGGGAGATGCGACCCCTCAAACAAAGCCCCCACAAGCATGTCATTTCTCGGATTGCTTGCTCACTGAGCAAGCGAGCTCAAACAAAGCTGGGGCGCACCTAGGAAGCCGCACACGAGGCTGTTGATGTAGGAGCGCGCCTCCAGCGAGTCGAGGCCCAACACGATGATGTTGAACTCGCTGAAGAAGGAGGCGGGCTTGTCCTCTATGCGACAGAAGTGGGGGGTCACCTGGTGGGGGGGTGGTGGTGTGGTGGGGCGGTGCGGCACGGGGTGGGATGCGGAAGAGAGGGGGGGGGTGCTTGCTGAAAAAGGAGGCGGGATTGGCCTCTAGAGACAGGAGTCGGGTGTGATGTGGTGGGGGTGGGGCGGGGTGCTGGGAGAGGGCGAGTGGTGATTCAGAAAGTGGCAACGGGTTGGGTGGGGGTTACGACAGGAACCAGCGAGAGGTGGGGTTTGATAGAGAGTGGGGGAATACAGCACAAAGCACAACAGGTGCAGACGTGGCAAGTCCTTTCCCCCCCTCACCTGCACCCCGCCCACGCGGCTCATGACTCGCTCTGCTGCCACCACGGCCTTGGGCTTGCCCACGTCAGCCGGGCTGCACGGAGGGGCATGGAGCAGCACGCAGGGGTTGCATGCAGGGGAGAGGGGAGAGGGGAGAGGGGAGAGGGGAGAGGGGAGAGGGGAGAGGGGAGAGGGGAGAGGGGAGGGAAAGACTAGTTGATTGTCACTCGCTTGGCTGCCACCACGGCCTTGGGCTTGCCCACGTCTGCCGGGCTGCACGCAGGCGAGAGGGGGTTGCATGCAGGGATGGGAAAAGGCACGCGTGGGTAGGAGGGCCACGAGGGAAGGACCAGGGGAGTCAGGAGGTAAAGCGAGAGAAGAGTTGTTGATTCTCACTCGCTCACGGCCGCGTGGCTCTGCCATGCCACCACGGCCTTGGGCTTGCACACATCTGCCGGGCTGCACGGAGGGGCATGGGGCAGCACGGGGGGAAAATGGGGCCATGGGCGACGGGGTAAGGGGAGTGGGGGAGAGCAGGAAGGTCATGGCCCGTGCACTGTTCATACACTGCAGCAGCACTGTTCATACACAGCAGCAGCACTGTTCATACACAGCAGCAGCACTGTTCATACACAGCAGCAGCACTGTTCATACACTGCAGCAGCACTGTTCATACACTGCAGCAGCACTGTTCATACACTGCAGCAGCACTGCTTATGCATTGTAATGTAACTAACTGGAAGAGGACCTGGCGTCCATGTGTCAATCACGCCCATCACGCCCATCATGCCCATCACGTTGATGCTCCCAAACCCCGACAGAAGTAAATGCTTCAAGGCTAGTAATACACTCTAGCGGCACCGTTGACACGCGTTAGCGCCACTGTTCATACACTGCAGCAGCACTGTTTGTGCACTGTAACGTACCGAAAAAGAAATTGGCAGTTCAGGTTGGAGACGTCGATGGTATCCATGTAAATCACGTCTATGCTGCCAAACCCATCAAGGCCAAGCACAGTTCATACACTGTGGTACCACCGAATCTCACCGAAACAAGAACTGTCTGTTGAGATTCGAAACATCAATCGTGTCCATGTCAATCACGTCTATGCTGCCAAACCCCGACAGCACCAGGTCCTTGAGCAGCTCGCAGCCCAGCCCGCCTGCCCCCACCACCAGCACGCGGCAGTCGTCCTTGAGAAAGTCGCGGATCTGGTTGGTGTGGAGAACAGAGTGGGGCAAGGGGGAGTTGGGGAAAGGGAAGGGGTGGGGAATACATCCCACCAGGCCCTTTAGCAGCTCACACCCCAACCCGCCCGCCCCCACCACCAGCACGCGGCAGTCCTCCTTTAGGAACTCGCGAATCTGGTCGATGAGGGTAGGGGGAGGGTGAGGAGGGGTGGAAAAGGGTGTAAAGGGGTGGAGAGGAGAAGGGGGTAAATCAAAGCACCAGGTCCTTTAGCAGCTCGCAGCCCAGCCCGCCTGCCCCCACCACCAGCACGCAGCAGTCATTCTTGAGAAAGTCGCGGATCTGGTTGGCATGGGGCAGGGGGAGAGTTCGGAAGGGGTGGAAAGGAGTGGAAAGGAGAAGGGGGTAAATCACAGCAGGTGTTTGAGCAGCTCGCAGCCCAGCCCGCCTGCCCCCACCACCAGCAAGCGGCAGTCCTCCTTTAGAAAGTCGCGGATCTGGTTGGCGGGGCACGGGGCAGGGCCGGGTGGGAACGGGGGGGAAAGGAGGAGGGGATACATCACAGCAGGTCCTTGAGCAGCTCGCAGCCCACTCCCACCACCAGCACCCGGCAGTCTGTCTTAAAAAAACTGGCGAATCTGGTTGATGAGGTGAGGCAGGTGGGCGGGTGGGGAAGGGGTGGAAAGGAGAAGGAGGTACATCCCACCAGGTATTTGAGCAGCTCGCAGCTCGCAGCCCAGCCCGCCCAGGCCCACCAGCAGCACGCGGCAGTCTGACTTGAGGAACTCGCGAATCTGGTAGGTGTGGATAGGGGAGAGAGTGGGGCAGGTGGGAGAGGCGAGTGGGGACGAGGGAAGACTGAGGAAGGGGAGAGAATGGAGAAGGAGTGGCAAGGAGAAGGGGATATATCCCAGGAAGAAGAGTGGGAAGATGGGGCGAGTGGGAAAGGAGGAGAGTAGGGAAGGGGGGAGAGTGGGGAAGGGGGAGAGTGGGGAAGGGGGAGAGTGGGGAAGGGGGAGAGTGGGGAAGGGGGAGAGTGGGGAAGGGGGAGAGTGGGGAAGGGGGAGAGTGGGGAAGGGGGAGAGTGGGGAAGGGGGAGAGTGGGGAAGGGGGAGAGTGGGGAAGGGGGAGAGTGGGGAAGGGGGAGAGTGGGGAAGGGGGAGAGTGGGGAAGGGGGAGAGTGGGGAAGGGGGAGAGTGGGGAAGGGGGAGAGTGGGGAAGAGGGGAAAGAGGAACGAACGAAACGCTCAAGGTGTCTCGACCGCGCGCAGGCCAGAAGCATGCTCCCACGGTGGTACCGTATTAGGTTTCACTTGCCAGCCCACGGCAGTCTCACTTGAGACAGCCGTGAATGTGGCTGGTCGGTGTGGGCCGGGAGGAGGAATGGGTGGGTGGCGGGAGCAAGGGGCAGCGGAAAAGGGTGGGGAAGGAGAGGGAGGCACATGACAGCAGGGCCTAGCGAGCCGCCTGCTCACCTGCTCCATGCGAGCACCATGCGTTCCAACGCGCCTGCTCCCACCACGCACGGCATGGCCTCATGATGCTCCACGCACGGCATACCTCCGGCGAGGGTTCGAATCCAGGCCCGACGAGCATCCCTGGTCGCAGCAACAGACGGTCCAGATCTCGCCACTGCCCCTCCAGCTCCATCGCTACGCCCTCCGCTGCCATCGCAGCCGTTCGTCGCGACACCGATCAACGCGCCGCGGGTACCTAAAGCGGCGCGTATGCTCCCCGGGAACTGCTGTGCTGCGCCGCGCGTCGTGGTGCCGTCGATCAACGCGACTGACCCCGATCGACGGCTCTACTGCACCAGGGCGAGCGAGCGAGTGTGGCTTCGAGGGTCGCTGAGTGCTCCGCGCGTCGCGTCGCCGATCGGCGCGAATAGCGAAACGTACATAAACAAAAGACGTTTCAGAAAGCGAGAAGGTTGCCGAGGCTGGGAGTGTGACGTAACACGGAATGAGGGAGAGGAAGGTCAAACTCAATTTGTTTAAAGCGGTAATGCTGGGTGGCACGGCTAAACACGGCAATTTCAATGGGTTGGGTGTGCAATGCTTTTGTGTGATGATAGGAAATGCCCACTGTTTCCATGTAGGAAGTGCGTTTCAGCCAAAAAACCACAAATACGGTACTGGGATATTTCTTCAAATTTTCCTACCTAGCAACAAGATTTTACATATCAGGTGGGTGTATATCCTGCCGTGAAGTGGCTAAGCACCTGAAGCATCAACAATCAGTGCATTCACTTGTGTAATGGCCGGTCCGTTGTACGTGGCACGTGCCCTGCTGCTCCTTGGGTGTCGACAACATATGTTGTCAGCAACCCCTTCATACTGATGTGGCACCAGTACCGGTATGTGCCTGCCATGAATCTCAGAAAGGGTTTGCCAATGGCTCAACCATTAGGTGCATGCCGAAACTCGCCCGCAGAGTGACAGCGCTTATGGGGGAGTGCTTGTAGGCGGGGGAGAGGCGCCATGAGAACTGCCTGAGGATGTGCGCCAGCACCACCTTTGCTTCTGTGAGGGCGAAGTTGTTCCCGATGCAGATGCGCGGGCCCGAACCAAAGGGTAGGAACGCCTGAGGGTGAGAACAGGCTTCATCTGTCCCTTCTGGAATGCGTGGGGTTTGAGGAGGGTATGAGGCACGATGGGCAAAAGTGGAACGTGATATACCGGTAATGAATACAACCACAAAGAATTGACGTTCTGTGGAAGAGGAATGTTAGGGGAAAGAACAGGGAAGGGGAAACAAGAGGAGAAAAACGGCACAGGCACGCAGACAAGAATCGTGAAGAGAGCAGTGGGGAGACACAGAAGCGGCAACAAGACCAATGGAACGAGGAACATGAGGCACGACAACAAAGGAGACTGACTGGCGAAGCGGTCGGGGTTGAAGTGGAGGGCATGCGGGCCCCAGAAGCGATTGTAAGACGGCAAAGGAGGAGAATATGAAGGCAAAGAATTGGGCAAAGATGAGGGAAAAGAAGTGGACTGACTGGCGAAGCGGTCGGGGTTGAAGCGGAGGGCTTGAGGGCCCCAGAAGCGCGGGTCATAGTGCAGCAGGGCGACTGGTATCAGCACGTTCACACCCCGCGGCACGTCATACGGCCCCAGCCTGCACGCCTGGGGGAGGGGGGGAAGGAGGTGAGGGGGGGGGTGTTGGGGGGGGTTGCGGTGAGAAGGAAGGAGTGAGCATTCCAGGGCACTGATGTCCCTGCGGGTCATAGTGCAGTAGAGCGACTGGTATGACCCGCGGTATCAGCACGTCAGCACGTCAGCACCGCGGAAGGTCGTATGGACACGCCAGGGGGGAGGAGACGGTGAGGAGGAGAGAGCGAGCAGGAGAGAGCACGGAGGAGGGTGAGAGGGGAAGAGAGTGAGGAGGAGAGGCAGCATGTGTGAGTGGGTGGACGATGAGGCTGAGAGCTTTAGAATAAGCCCCCCTCCAACCAGCTCAACCCCCCTGCCACTAAAACCCCAGCACCAATCGGAATTCTCTGCCCCTCTCTAGGCTCTACCTGCTGGCACATGCACCCAATCTCTACCTTTGAGTCGACTCCGAAGCCACCTTCAACTGAACCCGCTGCCCCATCTGTAACTTCACCTCCCATGTGTACCTGCTGGCATGTGCGGCCCAGGAAGGGGACGGGGGGAAACATGCGCAGGCTCTCCTGCAGCACCATGCCCATGCCCCTCAGCGAAGCCACCACCTCCCAAGTCACCTGCTCCCCTCCGCCTCTCTCGTCTTCCTCTCGCTCTCCTCCCTCCTGTCCTCCCCCCACGCCCTCCCCTCCAGACCCCCCTTGGCTTCTCTCTTGATGTTTTCTTCTATCTCCCTCTGAACCTGCCTCGTCTGCTGCTCCTGCTGCTGTGCTGGCTGTGGGGACTGCTGACGTGCCCTTTTCCCCCTGCTGAGTCAGCGCCTGCTTGAGCTCTGCTCTCAGCCGCTCCTGCCAGTCGGGATGCTTCGCCAGAAGATAGAACGTCCACGTCAGCAGGTGCGCCGTGGTGCTGTGGCCTGTCGTTAGGGGGCGGCGACAGAAGGAAGATGGGAATTGGTGGAATGGGAAGGGGAGGTAACACGATGCACAGAAGGGAGGCAACGCAGAGAAGATGGCGGATAACACGAGCGCCGTAGGAGGGGAGGGGGGAGGTGAGGCATTCTTTGCTTCAGGCCTGTCATCTGCTGTCTGCGTTTTACGCCGACTTGACAGTGTGTTTCAACTCCACCGAAAGCACCAAGAAAGAACGAGCATACCAGCGAGGAGGAATGTGATGCATTCGACCATGAGCTGCTGATCCGTCATCATCTGCTCCTGATGACTTTCGGTCGACTTAAAAAACAGTTTGAGTCGACACTAAAGGAGCATACCAGCGAGGAGGAACGTGATGCATTCGTCCATGAGCTGCTCGTCCGTCATCTGCTCGTTGCCTGCCTCGTCATGTGCTGCCAGCATGAGCGCCAACAGGTCCCGTGCACCCCGCCCTGCTGCCCCCCCCTGCTGCTGCCCATGTGCCTCCTCGCCATGCACTGCTGCTGCTGCTGCTGCTGCTGCTGTTGCTGCTGTCCCCCTTTGCTGCTGTCCATGTGCTTCCTCCTCCGCATGCACTGCTGCTGCTGCCCGTCTCTTGCCAATGAGGTGCAGGGTCAGGTTGCGAATGCTCCTTTCTGCTGCCCAGAGGGCAAAGTTTTCAGGAATCGGCAAGATGCTGCGATGGGGGGAGAGCAAGAGTGCGGAAAGGGAACCAGGCAGTATATTTATCCTCCCATGTCAACGATACATGCAGGAATACGAGTGGGGATGGACTCAGTGCCTAGGACTTTCCCAGTGTACATAGACCCAGGCTCGGACTTTCCCAGTGTACATAGACCCAGGCTCGGCCGCTCGGTCGGTACAGAAAGGAATCCACTCTTTCCAAAGGTTTTTTCGAAGTAAGGCAATGCACGACAGACACACACGGCGAGGCAGATAATGAAGAAAGAGTCCTTCTTTCCTGCCTCCTTTGGTACTTGGAGGGCCCTCAGGACCCTCTTTGTTATGAATGATGGAGAACAATGGATGAGACAGTCTCACACACAATGCACGCATGGTGGAGGCGCAATGGAGGCACGGTGGGTGCATGCACGGTGGGTGGAGGCACAAAAGGCACAGTAGGCACAGTAGGCAAGGTGGAGGCACGGTGGAGTTACGGTGGAGGCACGGTTGAGGCATGGTGGAGGCACGGTGGAGTTACGGTGGAGGCACGGTGGAGGCACGGTGGAGGCACAGTGGAGGCACGGTGGAGGAACAGTGGAGGCACGGTGGAGGAACAGCGGGCAGCAGCAGTGTTACTCATAGAAGGGCACGAGGGAGCGCCAGGAAGTGACCCTCTTCGAATCCAGCTCTGCCAGCCTTGACAACGCCTTGTACACCTGCACTGGGTCCGGTGCCCCTACCCCCCCCGCTGCTGCTGTTGCTGGTAGTAATTGTGCTGCTGCCGCTGCGGTCGTATCTGCCTTCACTGCCATGGTTCCACCCTCCTTCCCTAGCCCCTTTTCCTCCCCTTCCCCCCCTTCCTTCCGTCTCCTCTCCTCATCGCCCCCCTCGTGCGTGACAGCGGAGCCAAAGGCAGCGAGGCCAATGACATCCAGAGCCACGAGAGACATGCTCTCCTGCACGTCCACCTCCATGCACGCACGCCCTAAACGCTCGTTATACGCACGCTCGATATAAGCACCCTCCTGCGCTCCCTCCCCACCCCCTTCCTTGGCACACTCGGTTGATGACATGCCCTGGCCTGTTGGTTGGCTCTGCTGCTGCAGCTGATGCCACCACGAGTTTGCCAAAGAGTGACCCTGGCCATCCATGATTCTCACCATCTCCTGCATGGGTCAACGCAGGTCAATGCAGGTCAATGAAGGTCACCACAGGTCAGCGTTTGGCAATATAGGTCAACGCAGGAATGCAGGTCAACATGGGTCATTAGCCCAGATGAGCCAGCAAGCATCAGCACCGGAAAACGTAAATCCGAAAGAGCAGGCCTACAACTCAACACGTCAGCACGAGATGAGGTGATCAACTCGCCCTGATGGCGGCGGGGCGGAATGCGGGGTTGATGATGCGGCGCTGCCGCGCCCACAGAGACCCCTCTGAGAGCGGCAGCCCGTTGCCCAGCAGCCTCAGTATCTTGCGCGCCCTCTCTGTCTTGGTGACCCGCCCGCTGCTTGATACGAGAAGCTGCCAGGGATGACACAAGTGGATGGAGGAAGACAGAGAGGACAGGTGAGCGCTGTAAGGAGGGCCTGTCAGGTGAGCGCTGTAAGGAGGGCCTGTCAGGTGAGCGCTGTAAGGAGGGCCTGTCAGGTGAGCGCTGTAAGGAGGGCCTGTCAGGTGAGCGCTGTAAGGAGGGCCTGTCAGGTGAGCGCTGTAAGGAGGGCCTGTCAGGTGAGCGCTGTAAGGAGGGCCTGTCAGGTGAGCGCTGTAAGGAGGGCCTGTCAGGTGAGCGCTGTAAGGAGGGCCTGTCAGGTGAGCGCTGTAAGGAGGGCCTGTCAGGGAGTGGGGAGATGAAGGGAAGGGATAGATGAGGAGAAGTGACGCGGGGAGGGGAAAACAGGGAGGGAAAAGGTACGGTGAGAAGAGAGGGGATGTGAGTGGTGGACCCAGAAGCACTGTGTCTTGATTGTGTTCTGCATGCATCTCATGCAATCACATCTCATGCAATCACATCTCATGCAATCACATTACATGCAATCACATCACATCACATCGCATCGCATCACGTCAGGCAAATCACATCATATCGAATCACAGCATTGCCACATGACTGTACCTGCCTCACTAGTGCAGGATCCGTTACAACCAGCTGCACCGTGGCCCCTACAGTGAACCCGAACACGTCCCCATACTGCTCGCGCCACTGGTGCAGCCGCGGAAGCAACACAGCCGGGCCGTGGGTGGAGGGGGGAGAGTCGGGGGAGGGGGACGCGGAGGAGGGGGAGGCGGAGGCGGAGGAGGAGGCGGGAGAGGGGGTTTGGTTGGGGGACAGTGGGGCAGAGAGAGGGGTGCGACGGTAGAGGTCGAGCGCTTGACCAATGAGAGGCCTGGAGTGCATGGGAGGACGGGATCGCAGGAAGGCAGGATGTGAGGAGGGATATGGGTGGTGTGAGGGTCTTAAGTTGTCCCAAGAATGGAGGGGTGGGGGAGTTCCGAGTCGCCTCAGAAGCGGGGCATGGGGATTCGGTGAGGGGAAAAAGAGAAGGGCGGTTCGAGATTAAGGTAAGGGAGGAGAGACGCGAATGTTTCTGCATTTGTTCAGGGGCTTCAATAACGAGAATAAGTGTGCCTCGAGCAGCAGAAACTAACGACAAAGTATTTTGGAGGAAATTTCTACGACGATGCAGCGAAATGGCTCGAATAAGCCTTAGATGTACGCGGCTTGAGCAGAACGAACGGAATGTATTCGTTCTTGAAACGGCAAGTATGAAAATGCTTTTACCGAACCGGCGGAAGAAAAGGGCCTTACTTAGAGGCGGGAACGGAATCCCTTACTTGAACGGCAGGAAGGGAATGCCTTGCTTCTTGCACCGTCGCACTATGCGGTACGGCACATACACAAGGCGATACGGGAGGAACAACGTTCCGGCTGCTATTCCAGCCCATGGAACGAAGGCTAACCACCAGGGAACTTGGTGCTGCCACGTGGCACCATCGTGCCACGCTACTGTGCTAGACTCAGACAGTATGGTCATGTGGAACAGCAGGAATTTCTGAAAACAGGTCACGATAGAGAGCAATGGAGGGAAGGAGGGAAGTAATGCTGAAATCCACTCGAACGGCCAGCACTCGAAATTCTGAGCGATGGAGTCGAATTCCTTTCAACACCGACATTTTCCCAAACCAGCATTCCAGCCAAGGTCCGGAATCTGGCACGGCCAAATATTCGAGTACAGCTTCAGGGTGCTGTGTTGTAGGTCTCCGAACCAGGTTTGGTTCGAGTCACGCTGATTTTGATTTTCGGGATTTGTGTTGGATTTGTGTTGGATTTTGCGTTTCCAAACTGTAACAACGAGATTTGGGTTCGCGAAATGTGGCGATCTGAGAGCCTGCCTGTGCAGAACTATCGAGGGGACGGGTGGAGTTGCGATGCGTGGAAGGCGAAACCCTAAAATCGGCTAACCAGCAACGATCATGGAAGAGCGCATTCAACACACTCGCACTACTAAAGGGGGAACTTTGAACTCGTTCCCACATTCGGATTAGTGTAATCCGGGGCCTTGGTAAGGGTGCGAGGGGGAATTCGGTGACGGTGGCCTCGACGAAAGCGTGCGACTTCGCTGCTCACAAGGCCCCCGTCGGCGCCTCGGTTTGTTACAGCTTGCTACCTAGCGAAATATGTAACAGAAAGGCGTGCGACGTCGCTGCTCACAAGGGCGCCGTAGGCGACTCGTGAGAGGGTTGCGGCGTTATATTATGAGCAGCGCTCTCGCCGCGCCCGCGTTCTCTCGCCGCGCCTCCCATAGCTCTGCGCTGCACCTGCAGCAAAGTTAGCTCGTCACGATCGCACTCTTGCTATAGATCACTCGCACTACCACCACTCCTCTCCCCTCAAACATGTTGTCACTCGCGCCCTCTGCAGCTCGGCTGGGCCCGATTTCTCACACTCAGCTTTCTCACACTCAGCTTTCTCACACTCAGCTTTCTCACACTCGGCTTTCTCACACACGGTTCTCGGCTTTCTCACACTCAGCTTTCTCACACTCAGCTTTCTCACACTCGGCTTGCTCACACTCGGCTTGCTCACACTCGGCTTGCCCGCTTTCTCACACTCGGCTTGCTCACACTCGGCTTGCTCACACTCGGCTTGCCCGCTTTCTCACACTCGGCTTGCCCGCTTTCTCACACTCGGCGGCCCGCCGAAGTCCGTTCGGGCCCGTCGCTCCCTACCCTCTCTTGTCTTTTCTTTTCTTCTCTTCTCTTCCTGATCGTTCTCTTCTTGATCGTTCTCTTCCGTCCCATCCCTTCGCATCCTATCCTTTGAATTCCGTTTCATTACTTTTCCCCCTTTCTACTGCCCCTCGCTTCCCATATTCCCTTCCCTTTCCAACAGTTTCATTCCGCTACTATCCTTTTCCTCCTCTTCCCTTCCCTCCAATCCATTCCCGTCCCTCCTTTTCCATGCCCTCCCCCTCCTTTCCCTCCACAACAATCTACCCCCCTTGCTTGCCTTCAATCTTCCCCCCCTTGCCCTCAGTTCCCCCCCTCCTTGCCCTCAGTTTCCCCCTCCTTGACCCTCCGTTTCCCCCCTCCTTGCCCTCAGTTTCCCCAACCCCCCTCCTGGCCCTCAGTTTCTCCCCTCCGCCTTGCCCTCATTCCCCCCCCCCCCCTTGCCCTCCCCCTCCTTGCCCTCAGGTTCCCCCTCCTTGCCCTCAGTTCCCCCCCCCCACCCTCCTTTCCCTCAGTTTCCCTCCCCCACCCCTTGCCCTCAGTTTCCCCACCCCTTGCCCTCAGTTTCCCCCTCCTTGACCCTCCGTTTCCCCCCTCCTTGCCCTCAGTTTCCCCAACCCCCCTCCTGGCCCTCAGTTTCTCCCCTCCGCCTTGCCCTCATTCCCCCCCCCCCACCCTCCTTTCCCTCAGTTTCCCTCCCCCACCCCTTGCCCTCAGTTTCCCCACCCCTTGCCCTCAGTTTCCCCACCCCTTGCCCTCAGTTTCCCCTCTCCTTGCCCTCAGTTTCTCCCCTGCGTGCCCTCAGTTTCCCCCCTCGACCTCGTTCCACTACTGTTTTCCAGTGCGTCCGCCATGCTTCCCATCATGTTCCACCTATTCGAACCCTTTCTTTCCACCCCTGCTTGGGCTTGTTCCGTCCTGCTCGCCCTCGTTCCTCCCACCCCCGTTCCGACTGTTTTCCCACCCTTTCCCTCGTCCTCGTTCCCTTAAATCTCTCACCCTTTGTGAAGGATAGGGAAGGGAAGATTCTCCTTCCCCCCTCTTGCTTACCCCTCCTTTCCCCCTTGTTCCCTTTCTCTCTCACCCCTTATGAAGGGTAGGGGTTTACAGACTGTAACCTGCCCCCCTTGCTTGCCTACTTTCACTCTGTCTGTTCACCTCTCCATAGCAAGGCAATCCGAACAGCACAACTGGAAGGACATCCCTCTCCTTGACTGCTGCTCTTGGCAACATGTTGGAAGGAACCAAGGACCGGTCGTTTTTTATTAAAGTTGTGTGTGCTGGTGCCCACACCCCAGTGTACCTACCGTGTCAATCCATCCACCAGCATTTTAGACTGGGTAATTATTTGAAGTGTTGTTCAGTACTGTATTCTCCCGGACATAACACCCGGGGGTATTATGATAACCACAGGGAAAAAGGGGGGGGGGGGGGGGGGGGGGGGGGGGGTCCTCTCAACGGAAAATCCTATATAATACCCGGGTGGTTACATATGGCATATTTTAATGTAAGAGTATTTTTAATTAGGCAATTTGGGTGTTTCAATGGTCGTTTTAGCATCACAGTTTTGAGGCGAGAGTATGAGTTCCGGCGAGAAGGTGGGTTTCACCTCTCGGGCCACTTGCAGCGGAAGATTCGCCAGCGTGGCGACGGCGAGATTGTGGGAGGGGGGAAATGTCCGCGTGCAGCGAAAGATTTGCCAGCGTGGTGACAGCGAGATTGTGGGAGTGGGGAAATGTTGGCAGATTCTAAGTGAAAGTATACGCAAAACTTCATCTAGGAAGCATCCTCGCGATATTCTCCCGTAAAGAATCTGACTCGATAACAGCTACCGTATCGCCCCGGATATAGGCGCCGTCCGATTAAAGGCGCCGGCGCTTCTATCTGGAGCATGGCGCTTATGGCCGGAATTCGATTATAAGCGCCCCCCCTGAAAATGCTTTACTTATTATAAGCGCACGCCTAAATTTATTTTTCATTCCTGATTAAAACGGTAACGAACTTCATATTTCTAGCGAGTCACATCACATTTTCACTTTGTTTGACTTTCGCGGACCTCACTGGTTGCGCGTCCAGTCAGTATGAGCTGGCACGCGGGCAAAATGACGCGCCAAAGCTCAGTGCACCGTCAGAAATTCGCCCTCGCGCGATTCTGATTCTGGACGCTGTAAAGTTTTAATTCGGTTCAACTTACGAGACTGAACTGTACATGTTGGTGCGTTTGAATTGTATTTCTGTATTTGTCTTTATATAAGCGCCGGCGCTTATGGCCATTATTCAATTACAAGCGCCACCCTTAAAAAAATCGATTTTATTATAAGCGCCATGGCGCTTATATCCGGGGTGATACGGTATTATATGAATCTGTAAGAATAGGGGGGTGTTATAGAAAATCACCCAAAAAGGGGGGGGGGGTATAGTACAAACGAGGTCGGCTACAGCACCCCCCCGCACAAGCTACCCGGGGGTGTGTCAGAATCCCAACCACTAGACCATTGGGATAAAAGAGCTAGTAAAATAGCGGGTTGGTGCGCCCCTAACCCCCCAGGACAATGAGCCTGTTACCCTTCTCTAGGATCAATCGAGGATCATCAGTGGACCTCTGACACCCCCCCGCACTGGGATGCCTGAAGTGCACACGCTGGGATTCTGAATACCGTATCACCCCGGATAAAAGCGCAGGTGCGCTTATAATACAACAATGTTTTTTAGGGGGGTGCGCTTCTAATTGAGTCATTTTTATAAGCGCATGCGCTTATATAATGGCATATACAAATTTATTATTCAAAGACACCAAATTGCATACCGGTATTTCACTCTTGCCATTTCAACCGAGTCGAAACATTTCGCGTCACAAAACAGAATCGCGTGCAAACGATTCCCTTCCAGCACACAGGGGCCAAGAAGCGACACTTTGCAGTCATGCCAGCACATCGTGACTGGACGCGCAGCTAGTCAGGTCTTCGAGAGTCAGGCAACGCGAAAATGAGATTGTACCCGCTTCACAAATAAAGTTCGCTACCGTTTTGAACAAGAATTTAATTTTAAAATTGTACCGTATCGCCCCGGATATAGGCGCCGTCCGATTAAAGGCGCCGGCGCTTCTATCTGGAGCATGGCGCTTATGGCCGGAATTCGATTATAAGCGCCCCCCCCTGAAAATGCTTTACTTATTATAAGCGCACGCCTAAATTTATTTTTCATTCCTGATTAAAACGGTAACGAACTTCATATTTCTAGCGAGTCACATCACATTTTCACTTTGTTTGACTTTCGCGGACCTCACTGGTTGCGCGTCCAGTCAGTATGAGCTGGCACGCGGGCAAAATGACGCGCCAAAGCTCAGTGCACCGTCAGAAATTCGCCCTCGCGCGATTCTGATTCTGGACGCTGTAAAGTTTTAATTCGGTTCAACTTACGAGACTGAACTGTACATGTTGGTGCGTTTGAATTGTATTTCTGTATTTGTCTTTATATAAGCGCCGGCGCTTATGGCCATTATTCAATTACAAGCGCCACCCTTAAAAAAATCGATTTTATTATAAGCGCCATGGCGCTTATATCCGGGGTGATACGGTACATGCGCTTATAATAAGTTAAGTTTTTTAAGGGGGTGCGCTTATAATTGAGGATCGGCCATAAGCGCATTGCTCCAGATAGAAGCGCATGCGCTTATCATAGGCCTGCGCTTTTATCCGGGGTGATATGGTACATGTCAGAATCCCAACCACTAGACCATTGGGATAAAATGGCTCTTAAAGTAGAGGGTCAGTGCGCCCATAACCCCCCAGGACAATTAGCCTGTAACCCTTCCATAGGATCAATCGGGGATCATCAGTGGACAGGGTGTACTATTACGGGGGGGTGTTTTGTCCGGGAGAATACGGTACTTACGGTACAATCCAACGTTGATGATATTATGACAAAGCAGCAGCACAGCACTCATTGTTAACCATCCTCATCAGATTGTTGTGTTATGTACAGGATCAATCGCCTCATTGGCTAAATGCCCTTCCCGTTCTTCCCTCGTACATTTCTACTGAACCTCGAAACCCTCAGTGCACTATTCCCCTCTTTCTCAACGTAACCCACTTGCTCCTTCCACATCCACCCCGTCTGCCCTGCCTTCATCTCGTGCTGCCTCATCCGCTGCATCCCCCTTGACTACCTCAGCCTTGCTACCCTCTCGTTCCCTCCTCCGTTGCACCCGCTCAAATCCGTCCTCCCACTGCTCCACCAGCCGCTCTTGCTCCTCCTCCTGAGGTGCCATGCCAAAGGGGTCAGGAAGGGGAGGTGTAAAAATAAATATATTTTTTGTTTTCTCTTCTGCACCATTTGCACTCTTCAGCTGTCCTGTAATGCACCAAACAACCAACCTCAAACCCCTTCCGATCATGCCATGCTAGGCCCATCCATTCACATACTTCGCAAGAGTGTCAGAAGACTTGCACTATGAGATCCCCGATTGATCCTTGGGGAGGTTACAGGCCTGTTAGCCTGGGGGGTTATGGGCGCACTGACCCGCTACTGAAACAAGCCCTTTCATCCCAGTGGACTAGTGGCTGAGATTATGACAAAGAGTCCAGGTGACAAACGTCTCCCTGGTCTCGCACTCTCTTGCTCCACGCATCTCCGGGTTTGATTTCCTTCTTTGCAACCTTTGATCCACCCACATTGCTGGTTTTCGTTCTGCAGGCAGCAATGAAGTAGTGGACGGAGAAAATATTGGGAAAGAAAAACAAGGCCAAGGATCACGAGCAAAACACAAGAGTAGTGGGGACCACTGAGGAGAGGAAAATGTTTTGAGAGACGAAAGGCGGTAGAGCGGGCAGAGCTAGCGGGGGTGGTGGAGGTGGCGGTGGAGGCGGCGGAGGGAGTGGGGGTGGCGGTGGGAGTGGTGGCGGGGGTGGAGGTGTCGGTGGCGGTAGTGGAGGCGGAGGCGGTAGCGGTGGGAGCGGAGGCGGCGGTGGTGGCGGAGGTGGAGGAGGCTGTCGTGGAGGAGGTGGAGCTGGTTGGGGTGGCACTTCGCACCACAGCGGCTCCGGTGGTGGTCAGCGCCAGCAGCAGCAGCGTTCTCGGGACATCCCCCCCCCTCAGCAGCTCCGTGAGTGGTACGCGCAGCGTCAGCGTGGTGGGGGTTTTGGTCCGTGCAGCTGCGTCCTTCGCACCAGCGACCGCGCGGGTGAGCAGTGTGGGGGTGCCCACCCCACCCAGCGCTGCTTTGGCCGCCTGACGGACGCTTGGCGTCAGCAGTTCCCAGAGGCTACTGAGATCCCCCGCTGGGGAGAGCTGTCTAGGGCAGGTGTAGCTATATATGATCTTGACTTTGATGCTATCCTTGCTGCCCAATATGGTGTGACTGTAAGTGATGAGGGTGACTGTTACCGGTGTTTCCCGCCCGACCCGGGCATTGAGACTCCTGCTCTAGGTGCTCGTGAGGCTGCTGCTCTAGGTGCTAGTGCGTCTGCGTCCTCAGGTGCTGGTGAGTCTGCGCTCTCAGGTACCACGTCGACTTTGGCCTCCCTCACCTTCACACTTGACTCAGGGGCTTCTCGCTCCTTGCGGGTACACTTGGAGCTGGAGCTGCTAAGGGTGTTGGCGCTGAGTCTACTGCTGTCAGTCCTGCCGGCGGTCCTGCTGCTCGTGCTGCTGGTGGTACAGTAGCTGGAGGTGCTCTTGGTGCTGGTGCTGCCGCTGAGGGTGCTGGTGCTGTCCTTGCTATGTCTGGAGTTGTCGCGCGGCCTCGGCTGTTCTTCGTTCCGCTCCTGCAGCAGGTTCTTGGTCTTCCTCCTCCCTGAGAGTGTCCCCCACCTGTCCAGTCACAGTCACAGTTACCGCCGGCCTCCCCACTGCCTGCTCCTCCTCCCTACACTAGTCCTACTGGAGGCCTTGCTGAGCGTCGTGAGCCTGCGTCTCGTCCTGCGTCGCGTCTTCGTGCTGCTCGCGCTAGTGGTCGCGGTTCGCGTCAGCGTCCTCCTCCTGTCCCTCGC